TTCACAGTCCAGCGCTCAATCCACTGAGTCATGTTGGTTTTAAATGTGAACTCTGAATCAAAAAGTGAGTGCCGAGATGTTCCCATGGCAGCTGCCATTTTAATGGAAATCCTTCTCCAATGAGCAATTCCAGTAATATAATCAGATATTTATTTTACGATTTTTCCCCTTAAAATTTTTATTTTTTTATTGTTCAATTACAGTTGTCTCCATTTTCCTGCCACCACTTTCCCCTACCCCACCCCACCCTTTTTAAATATTTTTATTTATTTATTTTTAGAGAGAGGAGGAGGGAGAAAGAGAGGGAGAGAAACATTAATGTGTGGTTCCCTCTTGCGTGCCCCCTACTGGGGACCTGGCCTGCAACCCAGGCATGTGCCCTGACTAGGAATCAAACCAGTGACCCTTTGGGTCACTGGCTGGTGCTCGATCCACTGAGCCACACCAGCCAGGGCTATTTTATGATCTTTAATTATACTTACAACATGGTGGCCAGCTAGTTCAAAATGATACTTGAAAACCACTCTGTCTAAATCAGAGAAATATGACTGTCAATAATAGGAGATTGAGAATCAAACACGATGGACAACTCAGAAAACCATCCCTCTTTGGTATTTAGCAACTCCTAATTATTGAAGCCTCACTTTCTAAGCCTTAATTGTCACAAGGTTACAGAATCTAGGGTTGTATACACTCTGACAAAGGTCACAGTAGGGTAAGGATTACTTGATTGTGGTGATTATCTGAACTGTCTACAGGTTTCTATTAACTGAAACAACAGGAATCCACTGACAGAGATTTAATCATATAAACTGAAGTGAAAAACAAACATGGCAAAAATCCCTATTCTAATCAGGATAAAAATCCACTATATTATGTACATTACAAGGTCTTGTTTAATTATGGAGGCTGTTTCTCACAAAAAAATAAAATCAATGTAGAAGAATAACAGTACTGGAATACAAGGATGATCTAATAACAAAACAAGACAAACATATCATTGAATATATATTAGTGTACTGTGTAAGTTAATTTATTCATTCAACAAACATTTATAAGACACTATGTTATGTACCAGGCACCATGTGCAATGAAGAAAAAAACTTGGTCTTTACACTCAAGAAGTTACAGTCTACTGAAAGAGTCATCCAAGAAATGGGCAATTTAACGCGTGAAAAGTGTGACCAAGTATTACCGCATAGGGGGATGATGACTCACGATGAGGCTGAGTAGGTTAGTAGGGGCTTGATCACAAAACACACTCAGGTCTTTGCAATTTGTCCTAGGAACAATGGGGAACCTTTAGATGAGCTTTTAAGAAAAATCATTCTAACTTTTATAATGAAGAATAAACCAGAAAGACTAGAAAGGAAGAGACCAAATAGGCAGCTCGCAGTAATGAAAGTGTTAGGTAGATAATGGGGATTCATACCAGCAAAGCAGCAGCGAATGAAGAGAATTAGATGAATTTAAGTTATTTAATGGGAAAATATTATAGGGCTGGTGACTAGTGGGCAGCAAAAAAGTGAGAAAGGTCAGCCAAGGAATCAAAGATAAGTTCCAGAGATTTCTGGCTTTGAACTAAGTTGAACAGAAAATATATGAGGGGATGAGGAAAGTGTAATTTATTCCATTTTAGGTATGTTAACTCCGAGGTGCCTGTGAGATTTCTAGTAGGAAGTTGTACAAAAAAGTCAGCTCTGAAGAGAACCAAACTACAAAAATGAAGATTTGGTCCTACCTACCAGCTTAGAGGTAATACAACTGAAGCCATTAAAACATATGAGATTTAACCCATAGGAGAACGTGTAGAGCAAGATAAGCAGAGCCAGGCCAAGCAATGCCAACACTTAAAACACACATACCCTCCGAATCTACAATTGAGGCTGAGAGAAAGCAACTAAAGAAGTAAAAGTAAAAACAGAAGAGAGAAAGTAGAATTTCAAGGAGAGACAATCAAGAGTACTCAAAGTTATCCAACGATTAATAAGCTGAACAGTCTTAAATGGACCTGCTCCATTAAGTATAGAGCTCACTGATAACCTTAATAAAAATGGTATCAGTAAAATGGTTGGGACATGGTTTAACACAGCAAAAACCGTATTTAAATGGACTGATCCGTATAAGGAAATGAAGTAAAAAGATGGCATCATAAATAAGTATCTTAGAAAGAGATGGAAATGTGGAAAAGCTATTTTTCTGGTTGTTTTCTACTTCAACTAAATGAAATGCTTAAATGCTAAAAGGAGAAAAAAGGAAAAAAAAAAGACACAGGGAAAGTGGAGATACGAATTAAGAATTTTATTATTACCATTTTCACCTCCTAACCAACCAAAGGCAGACAGACAACTAGACATGACAGAAAGACATGATTTCTTGCCACAAAATCAAATCTGATTCTGTTCAAATGTCTGGCTCCAACTATCAATTTGCAAGAAGTAAAAATGGCAGAAGAATATGCTAAAGACACCATGGAATAACCAGCAATATCCAGACTATGAAAAGCCCTATAAAATAAATGACCCAATTTCTTAAAGTAAATTCCAAGAAAAGAAAAAGAGTTAGAAAGGGAAATTTAAAAGAGACAAGTGATACATCAAACACCTGCAGTTTATAAACCTTACTTTGATGTGGATTCAAAAAATTACTAGTAAAATGAACAAACCAGTGAATAAACTGGGGAAGTTTGAACCCTGGCTGGATGTCTGATGATATTAAAGAATAATTTTGAATTTTTCAAGAGTATTAACAGTATTGTGGTTATTTTTAAGTCTTTTAGAAATACACAATAAAAAATTTATCAGTTAGGCCCGGCTGGTGTGGCTCAGTGGATTGAGTGCTGGCCTGTGAACCAAAGGGTTGCTGGTTCAATTCCTAGTCAGGGCACATGCCTGGGTTGCGGGCCAGGTCCCCAGTGGGGGAGTACAAGAGTCAACCACACATTCATGTTTCTCTCCCTCTCCTTCCCTCTCTCTAAAAATAAGTAATTAAATCTTTAAAAAACCTTATCAGTTAAGTGATATGTCTGGTATTTGCTTCAAAAAATTTATCTTGGTTGGAACATCGTCTCGTACCCCAAAAGGCTGTGGGTTCCATCCCTGGTTGGGGCACGTATAAGATGTAACCAATGGATGTTACACTCTCAAATGGACGTTTCTCCCTCTCTCTAAAATCAATAAATACATCCTGGGTGAGGATTAAAAAAAAAAGAAACTGGGTGAAAAGAGTAGGGGGGAGATATATAAAACAAGAGTTGATAACTACTAAGCTGGGTAATAGAGGGTTCATCACACTATTCTCTAATTTTGTTTATGGGTCTGATATTTTCTATAATAAAGTTTTTTTTTTTAATCATAGGGAAATAATGAAACGAAGAGTTAAGGAAGGAGAGAGAGAAAGGAATGCGATCCACAGTAAAAATCTTACACATAAAGATGAGTCACCTTTTCCACCGTGTTGGAAAGAAAAGGATGCAAATGTTTTTTATATTTCAGGAAAATAGGAAATAAGGTCATTTGCTGAATAGGCAGGATAAGGAAGAAGGCATTAAGAGGCTTGAAATAGCTGCTATGGAGAACAAAGAAATGGAACAGGAAGAACATTTTTTTAGATGGAAGACTGAATTTTTGGTGTTACCAATGTACAAAGATGTCATTTTTTTCTTTAGCAAGTATGTACAGTCTGGCTGCAGACACAGAAAAGTTGCATATTTAGAGATCTAGGGTTGGGTTAAGGGTTTGCAAAGTTGTGTGAGATGAATGCATAATGAGAGAAGAAATAATGGATCAAAGAGCCTAAAATGCATTGTGCAGAAAGTGAAAACAGGAAAGGAAAATTGAGAGCCCTAGGGATCAAGAAAGTAGGTCTCTATAACCTGGGAGAACAGAGAATAGAATGATTAAATTTACGATTTTCCAATTTGTTGTTAACTGTATGTTAATAATGCTTTCATACAACTAGCTAAGTATTGAGGATACATGGTAAAGAAAGGCAATGGATATGATGAGCTCTAAATGCAGATGAAGAAAATATAAGCTTAAGTCTGTCATCACCTTTATAACCCTGAATAATTCATCTAACTTTTCTGGAAAGTAGGTAACATCTAAGGTTCATTTTAACTCAGGTTATTTCATCCTCCATCAACTTTCTATCTTTAATACTTAATTTTTTTTTGCTATCAAAAAATTGAGCTATCATACTTGAGAATATAATGTATCTTTCCAGTTACCTTTTAGCTTAGTATTTTAAAACGTAATTGCAAAATATCACATGACAACAGAAATAAATGATTCTGAAATGGAACAAAGGAGATACTCTGAATTATTTTGCAATTAACAATATATGAGCAACAGTACAAATAAAGGAGTTCTTAATCTTTTTTTTGGGAGGGGGGAGGTGTGAAGTCCATCGGATTCCTTTGAGAATGTAATGAAAGCCTAGATCTTTTCCCTCAAAGAAGCACTTATAAACGAAATACTGCATGCATTTTAAGAGGGTTCAGAAATCCTCCTAAAGTCAACATAATGAATGAAAAGACTTAACATTTTTGAAAAATATTTTGGCAGTCCTTCAATAATCCCTAAGTACTTGTATATATTACAAACATATTTCAAGAAGTCTCATTTATTCATTTGAATGTCAATATCCAGACATTAATTTTAAAGATCAGATCTGTGTTGCCTAAGCACTAGAAACAGAGGCTTCAGTATGCTTTTTGGAATGCAGAATTCTTTAGCATTCTATACTCTTAATATTATATCCACTTATCTGCTACACCAATGCTGCTCTCTTAGCAATGTTTTACTAGCTGGGTAAGTACCTCATCACAGAAAGAGAAAGGGAAAGAGTAAAAAAGAAAAGATAAAGAAAATAATATCACATTAAAAAATAATCTTATAAAACAGAATGGTGAGTGACAATAAATTCTTTTCATTTTAAGTTTCAATGTGGTAACATAGGTTTCACACTTACCAAAACAAACTTTATAAAATATTATTTCAGTGCTCACTTCAGCAGCACATAAACTAAAACTGGAATGATACAGAGAAGATTAGCATGTCCCCTGCACAAGAATAATACACAAATTTGTGAAGGATTCCATAATTTTTTTTAAAAAAGAAAAAATATTCGTTCACTTATGATCTATTTCATACGTTGGCCTTTGCCAACTAGGACTTTATGTAATAGAGGGAAATATCAGAAAATAAAGGATGTGTGTGAGGGAGAACATAAACAGTAGATGAGTATTAATATGCAAAGTGGAAATCATCAGACTTACTTATTATTAGATGTAAAGTAGGCATTTAAGGAAGCCACTAGTAAGTGGATGATTACCAATAGCACTTGCTCTTAGGAAACTGGCACTTGACAATGCTTTATTTAAAGAGGATCAGTAGATTATCTACCTTTCTTGAACAGCACATTTTAGAATCCCATTCCAAATACTTTCCAGATACAACAATGTGGCAAGGCAAGGCAGAAGCTTCTATCAATCAAGATTTATTGGGTATGTTTTCAGATTAGCTAGTTTTCAAGAGTTAAATAAAATCTGTTGTTTTCCAATCAACTGTATGCTTCATGATACTCTGCAAATCATCAGGATTTAAAAAAATTAGTTTCAATAAAACACTATATTTTCCTCAAAGTCACTAATGGCACATAAGACATTTTATTACTCTATATGACTATTCATATTACAGATATATCCCTCTTGATGTTTCCAAATATTTTTACCATCTTACCCAATTATCCTTACAGATTCTGTACACAATCCAATGAAGAAAACAAAAGCTAATCTGTCCTTAAAACATTTTTCTATAGAAAAATATTTGTCTATAATTTAACAAATTAAGATCTTGATTTGAGTTAGGCAAATAAAAGCTACTTTCTTAGTTATGCTGGCTACACATAGTTTAGAAGAATTAGATCAAAGTTTAAACAACACAAGTAACCAGCATCCAACAGAGAGAGACATAAAACTTGGTTATTCACATCACCTGTCTTAATGTTCCTAATAATGTTTTTTAGAGAATCAAAAAAGAATTAAACTGCAATATCATGTGAGAGATTACTGAGGTAAAGTTACAATAAAGTTAATGAGAATTAGGCAGAAATTGTTTGTTTATAACCTGTACATTTCTATTCTAAGGTGAATGTAACAGTTCCAACAATGTTCTGAATGCAAGACTTCCTTTATTCAATATTCAAAGCTTTATTTTAATAAAATATCATCCAACACTGTTATACAGGATTGGCAAAAAAAATTAACAATGTTTTATTTTCTTGTTTTAATTGCCATACTGAAATACTAATAGAGTTAAACCATATAAAACTGCCAATAATGACAATCACACAGGTTCAACCTAATACTTACCAATGGTATTTTAAGAGCATTAGCAAAGTTCTTAGCAGCTTGCATAAATAGCAGAACTGGGACTTATTTACAAAGCCTTTTTTTAAAAAATTTACTTTTAGAGAGAGAAGGGAGAGAGGGAGAGAAACATCAATGTCCAAGAGATACATGGATCTGTTGCCTCTTGCTCGCACCCAACTGGGGACCTGGCCTGCAACCCAGGCATGTGCCCTGACTGGGAACTGAACTCGTGGCCTCTCAGTTCGCAGGCCTTCACTCAATCCACTAGGCCACACACCAGCCAGGACGATTTATATAATTTTGATAAAAACTAAGCAAACAGAAAAACTCCCTCCCGTGATTTCATAGTTCTTTGCACATACATGTATTTAACACTTCTCACACTACACACTGTAACGATCTGCCGTAATGTCTCCTCAACAACTGTCCCCCAAAACTGCAACGTATTTATTCCTCATTGTACCCCTACCAAATATCATGGTAATTAACACAGAGTAGGTATCTAGTTGGTTTTTTTAGTCCTCACCCAAAGATATTTATTTACTTGGGGGTGGGGGGGAGATATCAATGTGAGAGTCAAACATCTATCGGTTGCCTTCTGTATGCCCTCCAACCGGGAATGGCACATGCAACCTTTTGGTGTACAGGAAGAGGCTCCAAACAACTGAGCTAGATACTGCTAGGGAGGTACCTAGTGTTTCCAAATGCCTACATAGGCACCACAGTAAAACTAAAATAAAAATTTATTGTATTCTCAGAACAAAAGATGCATTGTATCACTTTATTTTCTTCCTCTTTTCTTAAAAATTCAGAAAAATCAAAATCTGAAATATGGGCAGACATCAAAGTCCAGTTGCTTGGGGCTGATTTTGGTGTAATGCTTTCTCTTTTTAAAGATTGAACATTAATTAACATACTAGAGAAAGTATACCAATTTTAAAATCCTGTAGAAAAATCAATTGGCTGTCTTAATTTTATACTGAAACTTTAACAATAAAGACCTTTATTCATATTACTCTTCTGGTTTCCACTTACAAAAGCTACATTTTCAAGTGACAATTAGACAAACATAGCTCCAAGAGGCTTATAGATCTGATTTTTTAAAGTCAAAACTAAGTCACATACATGTACACAAATAAACTGCCTTAAAACAAAAAGAAAAAAGCTTGCTAATATTTCCAAGCATACAAACAATAATAGAAAGATATACTGTTGTTCTATGTATATTTTTAAACCATAAAGTATGGTGAATACTAATGCAGTTAGCCCAAAGGAATTACAAGGCAGAAATCACTGCCATTCTTAAGAAAGGGAACAGAGTTCTAAAACTGGTTATTTCATGGCGATTGTTTTGGAGATAACATATGAGATACTAAAGCAGGGGGAAGCGGAAAGTAAAACATAAGAGGGGCTTGGGCTAGGATGGAAGCAATTAGAATTATTTGAAAAAAAAAAGGGGCTTTATGGTCAAATTGCAATTACACAAAAGAACTTTTTCAGGGGGACACAGTTCACTAGTTGCTCTTGGAGAATGGCTTTCTCTAGGATACAGTCTTGGTCCTAAAGACAGATCTCTTGTTTACATCCAAAGACAACTGACCAGGTGTTACTTGACAGCCCAACTGGAAAACCTGCTGTATCTGAACTGAATTAATTTTAGTTTATACTATTACCCACACCAATGTCTGCCTCCAATGAAACAAATAACTGAGAAATAACTACATTCCCAGTGTCAATTATTCAATTTATTTACTGAGAATGTACCAGGTATCCAGTATGCAAACTAAAACAATGCATATTTGTGGACCATATATATAGCTTCACACATAGTTAACCTATGTGCCTCATCTATGGAAAGATACATGTGACATAAAAGCAATGTGTAGTCCCTTGCCATAAGAAACTTACAATATACATGAAGATGTAAGCTACACATACCCTTTCATTCATTCATTGACTAAGATGCTAGGGTCCGTCTATGAGGTTTTAAAATAAACAAACATGAATAAAATGTAATCCACCTCTATGGGAATGTACAATCTCGTTAGAGTGAAGTGGGAGGGTAGGGACTGGAAAAGAAAGTGACAAAGAGACTGTAACACAAGCTGAGGACTGACGAAGTCATTCTTTTAAACTCTTTTAAAAGAAAAAACAGAAAGAACTTTTCTGAATATAAGTCCCATGACAGGCCCTCTGACAGCAAATTGGATATGTACATGGAGGTTCAGATATCAACTTGGTCACTTACAAATTATGTGATTTGGGGCAAATTTTTAAACTTCCTAAGCCTATAACCCTATAAAGGGGCTAATATTGTCTCCTACCTCAGACAGCAGTGGTGAAGCTTTATGAGATAATCAGTGTTCAGGGCTTGTCTATCATTTTACTCCCCTCCATAGAGCTCAAGAACAGTGAAGATGTGTACAGATGGTAATTTCATTTTAAAAGCTACGACACAGCATGGTACCTTCTGCACTAGGTACATACACAAGCAAAGTAAAAGACTGTTATCCTAGTGTCCAAGGACAGAGAAAAAATCAGTTTTGCCATCACAAGGACACAGAAAATGAAGGTAGACTGCTCTATTACTATTATCATCAATCATCTTAATCACTGTCAAAATAATGATTTACCAACATTTACTGAGTATTACTGTGTGCTAAGTATTCTTCTAAACTCTTTAAATGCAATTAATTCGATACATCAGGAAAAAATTTATACAAACTACACAAGAGAAAAACTTGTGTAGATTACCAATTCATAGAAAAAGAACATTTCTTTCAGGTGAAAAAAATTAGGGATGGTTGCCAGGAAAAAGAATCTGGTATGCAGATGCAAAGGATAGGCCTGAGGATACACAGAGAAGAGAGGGAGTGGTAAAGAGTGACAAACAAGAACAGAAAGCATCTTCCCTTATAAGGCTGAATCACAGTATACCTGGCATGCAATATGACAAAGGATGAAAATATAGGCCAGGACACATTAAGTCCTTGAGTGCCATTTAGGATCAAACTAACATATTAAATACCATGTTTCTACCAACATGCCCTTTGCATTTTCACCACAGCTCCCTACAGACAGTAAAAAGTTGGCAATGGATTTTTAACAATAAAGTGACTTGCATTCTGACCGCTGTGGCTCAGTTGGTTGGGCATTGTCCTGCTAAGCAAATGGTTGCCGGTTCGAGCCAGGGTCAGGGCACAGGCCTGGGTTGAAGGTTTGGTCCCCAGTCAGAGCACCTATGAAGGCAACAGATTGATGTTTCTCTCTCACCTCTATGTTTTTCTCCTTCTCTTTCTCCCTCCCTTCCCCTCTCTCTAAAAATAAAAAATAAAATCTTTAAAGAAAAAAAAAAGGAAAAGAAAGTGTCAAGAACTGTGGTTCAGGAAAATTAATCTAATTGCTTTATGTAATATCCCACATAATTCTTCCCCCATTCTCTACTATGGCCAACAATACCCAGTTTTTCAATTCCACCCAGTCACCCAAGCTACAAATCTGAGATGTCTTCTAATATCTCCCTCTCCTCATCACAGTACTCATTTACAATTCCACCTCCCAAATCTTTTTCTCCAGTCAACAACTTTGTCACTACTGAATTTCAAGCACTAATCATTCTTTCCTCAAAAAGCTTCCTAAATGATTTTCAAACTCCAGTTTGTATCATTCACTGGCTCCCACATTAACTATATAAAATACACATCTGATCATAATGCTTGCCTTTGCTTGAAACT